GTGTCCTGATGGCTCTTTACTGTTAGGTTCTGTGTTTTCACACAACTTACCTGAAAAGTGGTAAAAGCCATAGATCTGTGCACAACAAGTATGTAATATGAGAGTCAGCATGTACATAAAAATCCTTTCTCCAGCCTGGAAATCCAAGAAATTTGAAACAGTGATTTTAATGAGCTGACATACATGAATAAACACAGTGAATAATAAAGGTAGTTATGATGTTTTACTCTCAGCATTGCTTCTGTGTCCTGTGTCCTGCATTCTTCAAAAAAAAAAAAAAATCTCAAAAAATACTCCTTTCCCCTTCATTAGTGTATGTTTCTTCTCACCAGGTACTTGGATTGCTTGGTTCTGCAGCATTTATAGTGGATGTAGGGAAGGCCAACCACTGTTCCTAGTTAATAAATGAATAGGCAACTCGAAACATACTTTGAAGAATGTCTGTTAGATGTTTTGACACAATTTCCCCTTATTCTGAGGATGTGAAAGGATAGCATGTGTCTTAAAGTACAGGAAAGTTTTTATTATTTACTTCAATTAGTGCAGTCCATATAAAATTTTATATTTGTATGTAAATATTTAAGAATGTGCTATGTGGAAGTTGTATACCATGAAGGTGAAATCTTATTTCAGAGACTTACATGAAAAACATAAAAATGTAAAGAATAAGTGAACCAAATGGATCCAGGGATCTGAACTTGAGGTCCCAACAGGAACAGGCTGAATGGTGTGGTGGAAAACAAACAGGTAGGGATCATTGAGAATCTGTAGCTCCACCAAAGCAACAAAAATGGTCAGAAAGTTACCTACTTTTAAATATTGGGGATCTAATCAATGGGCAGGACCCAGGTGAGAGCTCTAAYGTAATTACAGGAAGAAGACATTTTTGCTTGCTGGCCTTGATGAGTGGGATCAGGGGTTGAGAGTCAAGGATCAACATTAAGGTCAGGATCAAGGGTTAGGGTAGGGGTTAGGACTGGAGGAGGTGTGAGAGGTAGGATTTGTCTAGCTCTGTGCTTCAGAAGCAGCAGGGTGGAGATTCAGTGACCACTCCAGGGAGGCTGACCTCTTGTCCCTCCTTGTCCTCATCCTCATCCTCCCATTGCCCTCCCAAGATTTGAGAGCTGAGGCCAGAGTTCTGGGTAGAAATGGAAGTGACCTCTGGRGCCGGGGTGTGGCTCAGTGGTGGAGTGCTTGCCTGGCATGTGCAAGGCACCAGGTTCGATCCTCAGCACCAAATAAATGTAAAATAAATATATTATGTTCACCTAAAGCTTAAGAATAAATATTAAAAAAAAAAGAAGAAATGGAARTGACCTCCTGACAGTGCTGTGACCTTGAAGGATCCTGCTTCCACTCCCACCTTCTTGTGGGGTGGGTGTAGGGAGGCAGCTGTGGTCTGAAGAAGAGTGGATGGAGCAGAATGAACCTGTGTTCTCCTAAGGCTGCCCCAGCAAAGCACCACAAGCTTGTAGCTCAGAACCACAGAGCTGCTGTCTCACAGGTATCAAGTCCAGATGGGGAAGTCATGTGTCTTCGGGGCCTTGCCCCACACTGAGGCACAAGGGGAGGGTCTGTTCCAGGCCTTGCTCCATCTTCTGTAGTTTCTTGGCTGTGGCAGCAGAGCTCCACTCCCCACCAAATGTTTTCCCTGCGTGTGTTCCCTTTTAGTAAAGACAGCCATAGTGGATTAGGGACAGCCCCGAGGATCTCATGTTAGCTTGATCATCGGCAAATACCCTATTTCCAGGGCTGGGGTTGTGGCTCAGCAGTAGAGTGCTCGCCTAGCACATGTGAGGCCCTGGGTTTGATCCTCAGCAGCACATAAAAATAAGTAAAACAAAGGTATTGTGTCCCACTACAACTAAAAAATAAATATTTTTTAAAAAATACCCTATTTCCATATGAGGGTACCCTCACATGTGCTGAGGCTGAGGACTTCCACATGTGAGTTTTGGTACATGGTTCAACACAACGGTGTTCCTGCCTCTGCCAATGTGCCCCATGTCCCCCAGACTCCGTGGATCCTCCTGGAATGCCCCACCCCTTTCCAGGCTGGCCCGGCAGAGCACAGCAGGGCCTAACTGTCAGGCTTGGGACTGGTGTGGGGTTATCTACCCAGTAGGGGTATAGTGAGATAGTTCTGTGTTGGATGCACTGAAATATTGAAGTAGGATAAAATGGAGGCCAGTCTGGGTCTAGGTAATGAGCCTTGGGGACAGCTCCCTGGGGGCTGGCAGGAAGAAATACTTGCAATCCCAGACTCCAAAGGCAAAAGCCTCTCTGCATCAGGTAGGCGTCCTTCCTGCCCTGTGTGTCCACAGACTCAGGTTTTTGTGGGGAGCCTCTGTGGAGCCAGGTCTGGTCAGTAGGGGTGATGCAGGCCTAGAATGGATCTTCAGCACCAGAGGGTGAGAAATATGTGATGTGAAGTGAGGTGCAGACACCTCTGCTGCAGTCCCATGTAAAGTGCTAATGTGAGTCCACTTCCTGGAGTTGACCCAAATATTTGTCATCATGCCTGAGAGGCTCCTGAGGCTTCATCTGCGACCAGGTAAGTGACACCCACAGCTGGGGCACTGTTGTATGGCCTGGACACAGGTCCATTTGACTCAGATTTTCCTTGAGTGGCACCTGGAGTCTTAACCCTGGGCTGGAGACTGAGTAGGGATATCGCTAGGCTTCTGGGCCTCCCCTTCCCTCTGTATCCCTAGCAGAGCTACTGTGAGCTCACCTGACAGTACACT